AACACTACTCTTTCTTTTCATGGAGAGGGGGAGTCTATTGAAGGAGAAATATAACATTTTTATTTTTTATTTTATATTTGGTTATTATTTGTTTATTTTAAAGTTGAGGGCAAGTATGCCTTTTATGCCTACTTAACAACAACGCAGGGGACGGAAACTATGACTAGGATGGAATTCATTAATTTATGAAATGTTAGGAATTGTGTGAAATTGTTTAAAGGGTCAGGGATGGTAGCTACAATTTACTCAAAAATAATAATGGGGCAATCAGCAGCCCACATCACATAACCAGGCCACAAATTGGGTAGCCAATAGATGGGTCATGGATAGTCCATCAGGTTACGGGTTATGTGTTGTGAAAGGTTAGATATGTCAATCCAACTTGTCGAGATCGGATGGCTCACGGCTAGGCCCGTAAAAAGTTCGAGCCAGCTCGACTCGTGGCTCAATGGAACCGAGCCTCTTTTATGGATGATGGCTTGACCTCAGCCTGTCCATGCAGCGTCAACTAGCCAGCATGACAGGTCAAAATGGTTGTGACACTAGCCTTTTTTGGCTCGTACCATAGGGTCGGCTACTTGCCTGAAGCTGACTGCTTCAGGTGCCAATGGCTATTTGCTTTAGGCAGTCAGCTGCTTGCAGCTTGCCTTTTAATACAAAAATAAAATAAAATAAAGTCGGCCTAGAGCACGAGCAAAGCTTCAATTTTTCGATTAAGCTTTGGCTCAGTTCGGGCCAAAAAAGGCTCAAATCGTTTTTTTGCTTGGATCATGCTTGAGTCGTGATCTTCGACTAGCGAGTCGGCTCGAGCAGATTTGTTTACATCCCTATGAAAGACATTTTTCATATCGAAGTCCATTGACAAAACAATGTCTATCATAAACGACTAGTTAAAATGAGCATTCTAGTAAATTGAATTCTTTAGCCCATGTTTGGTTATCATATATAGGGAAAAAAAACTGTTTTTAGCGATAAGAGTTGATTAAAGTCATGGATTCTATAAATTATAAGTTAAAAATTAATTTTCAGAAACAGAGGTCAAATATGAACTTAGTAGTTTACTAGTTAAATTAAGGGAAAAAAATACATAACTAAAATACATTAAGCCCTTGTTTGAGCCCCATTTTGTGGGGTGGGGGGATGCATCTTTAATAGTATATTGGTAGAAAATGTGTGATTAAAAAATAAGAAAAATTTTTGAGTTTGCGTGTAATATTATTTTATTGAAAAATGTGTGGTTGAAATGATATCAAAAATATATTTTTTTTTTCTCCAAACAATTGGCTCAAACAAAGGCTAAGAATACAATTTCACATTTAACAAAGCTGTTAAAAATTTTTACAAATAAGGGATTAAGTCATTATAAATATATTACTAATATATAAATATATTAATTTTAATTAATCTTATGGACACTTGATTTCTAAAATGTAAACTTTCACATCTTATTTTTGAAATATAAAATTTAAAGTTATGAATTTGCTTAAATTTCCCAGGAAGTATTTAGTAGAGCGCCGGCCCACTAATAAGCCCAGTCATAAGGCATTCTACTATCCTCTAATAATCAATCAAGTCATATGACATTCTACGCTGGACTCTAAGAAACCTCCAAAACTTCGTAAATGTTATCTTAGCTCCGTTTGATTGCACGAAATTTTCTATGGAATTTGGAATTTGAATTCCAACTTTCACTTTTGGCCTATTTGATTGATAAATCTTTCAGGAAATTGATTTTCCATGAATTTCTAGATACAACACCTTAAAGCGTGATTTCCACCTTTT